TCGGGGGATACGACGGTGGCGTAGAGGTGTGGAGGTGTGAACGCTGAGGAAGTTTTTTGGTGTGGAGGTGTGAGGGCTGAGGATTTTTTTTTTTGTTTGTTTGAATTGTTTCGTCTGTCTCCGATTAGGGCATAAGGCGTATTAAATGAATATACGACGTCGACTATATACTTAGCCGACGTCGTATACCATATGTATTTTTTAATTTTTATTTGAGATACGGCATCGGCTAATTAATTAGCCGACGTCGTATTGTATTTTAATTTTAATTTTTTTATTTAAATACTTTACGACGTCGGCTTATTAATTAGCCGACGTCGTAAGGTATTTTAATTTCTTTTTTTTTATTTAAATACTTTTTGACGTCGGTTATATCAAATAACCACGTCATATGTATTTTTTATAAAAAAATAATTTTAAATATTTAACGTCGGATTTTCTAAAAACCGACGTTATAATGGTGAGGTTAAATCAGTTTTCTGTAGTAATGAACAAATTGAAGTGAGAAACTACCTCGCAATGTCCTTGTTTGACCCATCAGTAGTTAGCGGTTAGCGTTAGCGGAGTATATTTGCGGATTTGACCAGCGAATTATATCAACAGTTGGTAAAATAATTTTTGAAAAAATTAACTGTTTAAATTAACATTTAAAATGTCCTAAGGGTATAATAATAATAATAATAATAATAATAATAATAATAATAATAATAATAATAATAATAATAATAATAATAATAATAATAATAATAATAATAATAATAATAATAATAATAATATAAAAAATAATAAAAATAAAAATAATAATAATGATAATTGGTAGGGAATATCCCGACCGACATAGCTTCACCACGACCGAGATGCCTTTGTCCTTTTGTCTATGTCTTTGCAGGTAACAGGTCGGGCTCCTTGAGGAGAACCCGGTCGGGGACCGACCGGGAGTTGCCCGAGCGATGCTATGAACCCCGAGCGGTGGTCCTTAGGCGAGAGAGCTGGCTAAAGACACGTGGCGGCTTTCTACGACGACAGGCAGGGCACCCGGGAGGAGGACACGTGGAGGCTACGTGGAGAGCATGCCGAACGGCCGGAAGCTTGTTTCCGGCGTCGCGGCTATAAATACCCACAGTAGCTACAGTGTAGAGGACTTTTGGACGATCGATAGGTTGTAACTAGAGACTCCCGACCGCAGTCAGTCGGTACTCAGAGCAACCAAGTAGATTGTACTTAGGAACTCTACCTTGATCAATAAAGACTTTACCTGCTTTAATTGGTCTTGTGTTATTTATATTGCTTACGTAGAATTAGCAGTATCAATAATAATGATAATAATGATAATAATAATAATAATAATAATAATAATAATAATAATAATAATAATAATAATAATAATAATAATAATAATAATTTCTTTATCATTCATAATAATTTATTCAACAATAATGGTTGAACTAAATGAACACTGAGCAAAACACCTAAAGGACTGGTACCGTTGATTCATTCATTGATCTTGTATATATGTGCATTCATTAAATATATTAGAACCCTTTGCAACAAAAATACTTGGTTACTATTTAACAAAAGTTTAGTAACAATTATAATGAATCTCCTATATTACATTGTATTCATATACTATGCATTACATATTTAAATAAACAAATTAGACATTATTTGCATCTGTATGCACCATGCATGGTGCATACGGATGCACGACATAATTTGCCCCGTCTGTGGGGACCGAACCCCAATCGTTATATCGTGGACCGCATACATAATCGATTATGCACCGCACGTCAAAACATCGTCGTTACAGCGCGCTGTTAATGTTAACGGAGTGACACTACAGTGTATCTAAACCGACACTGCCTCACGTATTATTTTTATATTATCAAATGAAACTGCAGTTATATCAAAATGATATTGTAGTTGTGGTGAAATGAAACTGTAGTATATATAAAATGAAACCGATTAACATTTCACATATTTTAGTGTATATTGTACAATGAAGCTGTAATTATATCGAAATGATCATGTAGTTGTGTTTTAATAAAACTATATTGTATATAAAATTAAATTAAATAACATTTTCACATATTTAAGTGTATAAATATTGAATTTTGCAAAACGGTGCAGAACGGCGCGAAACAGATTCCGTTTCTTTTCATTAAATAAAACGACTGTTGACACTTAAATTTTAATAAATATTGATTATTTATCAATATAAGTTTTGATGCGCGGTGCATAATCAATTATGCACCGCTATGCATGATATAATTTGCCACTAAACCCACAACCACATGGTTAAAAGCCACGCACTCTACCACTGACCTAAGGCAGCTACTGAATACTTATGTTACATATTACTAATTATCGACAAAACCAAGTCAAAATTGAGGGACAAAGCATACTTAATAAAAAAAAAACTATAAATAATTGAGTTTAAGACCTTTGAAACTAATATTATTATTTTTTAAAATAATTTCTTGCCCACAAAAAGTGCAATTTTCTTGTCTTAAAATCTCATACGTACTTTTGACTTGATAAAATGATGGAGGAGTAATTACGATAACTCAGCGATTTTTTAAGTGAATAAATTTTTTTGAAACACCATAAATTTTTTAAGTTGTACTTATATTGAAAAAGTTTATCATTAAAAACAAAAATTCATTTTTACATTCTTCACATGTCTATTTCCATTCTAAAAAAGTGAATCCCACATTAAGAAAAGTTGTTTACTATAAAAGATAAATAAATAAAAAGACTAACCAAGGGGTATGGTTCATTAGTGTTTTCCAAATGGAAAGTTTTTTTTTCTTTTAAAATATAAACTAGAATAAATCACTTAAAAAATTAACACAAAATTTTAAAGTCTAATTCACTTTAATTCCCTTTTACTAAATCAGGATTTTTTAATTTTTTTTTAAAAAATAAAAGCTTAATGCATTATATTAAACGAAAAATGTTCACAAGAAACTAAAGAGAGTTATGCCACTCTCCGCAACCTAACAAAGAAACAATTTCCTTAGCAAGAACATGGGCAACACGATTCGCAGATCGCCTAGCAAAATAAAAGATTACATCATGTATCTGAGATGCAATCTCTTTTACATCATCAAACACTAATTCAAAAGAAGAGTTATAAAAATTAGAAGATAAAGCATGATAAAAAATCTGAGAGTCTGTTTCAACATCATATCGTCGTAGTCCAATTCACTCAACTGAGAGCTTCACGAAGCTAACCGCTTTAACCTCTTTCACGTCAAAGCAACCAACATACGTAGAGCTTTTAGCAGCAATGAATACATCCATATCATCTCTTATAATCCAGCCCTTTCCCATAACTCCATTATGGGATCGTGCATGTCACGCGCCAGGCTGGGCGCGTAAATACACTGTCTGGCGCGTAAATACACTATTTTTTTTTTTTATTTGCTTCAGTTTTTTCTTTTCCCTCTTTTCCCACATTTTCTTCTCTCCTCTCTCCTCACTCTTATAGTCTTATTTGGTACCTAAAAACTTGTATTAAAAACTTGTCTACCGAGGATGCTCTAAAATAAGTTCTACCAAACATTGGCTTTTGATATTTGAGCAGGAAGTTAGATCAAGATAACTACAAAATTAAAAGAAAATATTTAATGTAAAAGGAAATGAGATAGTGAATTTGTTATATTTAATTTGACAATATTTTTTCAAAGGCTGAACCTCAACCCTATTAATTTAACAATATTGATTTGAGAGTACAATGATAAGCACGTGAATATATAATCTTTTTGTCATTTACAGAATAGTTTGAATGATGGAGAAGAAGAAAAATTATCGCTGTTTCAAAAAAAAAAAAAAAAAAAGAAGAAGAAAAATTATCGAACATCCAATTGCTTGAAAAATATTCTTTTTGTCCTACTAGAGTTTAAAATTAGAAAATTTTATTCTCTTTTCTATTTCTCTTTATATATATATTTAAAATCTCAATCCTTGTAGCTAGATCGATAAGGATTCATTTTCATTACGCAACCATGACCCTTCCTTTTGTATGGGGCAAATTATTGTCTGAATCATGTTCACGCAGTGTTGTATGAATTATAATAAAAATTACATTTTTAATATATTAAAAGAATTACATTTTAATATATTATAAGTATATTTTTCTACTGAATATACATCATACAAAATAATGTAATATCAATAATCAATGTATTTTTTTTAAATAAAATGTGCATTTTTAATCTACAAAAAATATATTATTTGTGTGTTAGATGTACATTATTTAATACTATAGTCCACACAATAATGATTGCTCATATATGATTATTCATATAGGTGGGTTGTACTGGGTAGCCTATCATCTGGTTATTATTTTCACGTCGTAATTTCCCATAATATAATTCATTTTAATTTCCATAATATAATTCATTTTGCATTTATCAGACTACATGAAATAAATAAAAATTATGTGCATAATGATTCATTATAGTGGTAAAATTCATAAATTTTCAATTTAGCATACCAAATTAAATAACACAACAAAACATGCAATAATATAACTTTTTTTTAAATAAAAAAGCTCATTCATTTAATCATAAACTGAAGTGATTACAAATATAATTGATGGGACCCATTTCTTACCGTCAGACCTAGAAACAACTTCCTAACAATGCTACAAAGAACATGAATAGTAGACTGTTTCACAAATTTGAAGCTGAATTCCTTAGACATTAAAAAATAAAATTATAAAATTTGAACTTCAAATTATCAAGATAGAGCTTAACTCCATCCTTGAAAATAAATAAAATCAAAATCTTTTCATTCGAAAAAAGTTACAATCTCATCCTCCACATACACAACACTTTTCATATATAATGAGAGAGAAAGTGAGTAATTATCAACTCCATGTATCTCAAACCTTCTCCAAACATCTCTACTAAATGAATAAACTAAAACCAAAGGAGACATTATCCTCTCCCTTTCAATCAAGAACACAATCTCCCCCATACTATTTGTACTACACCTCATGAGAGTACTTCTCCAATCACCTCCCTCTCCTCCAATAATGGCAAACCCACCGTTTGTTTCTTCCACTCCATTGACCTCTCCAACGTCCATATATTTATCTTGTCAGGCAAGAATGTGGGAGCCTCAGATTTGGCCTTTTGTGGGACAAGAATGTTAATGAAAGCTAGGCGACCATTCAGATTCATCCATGGCAGCCATCCCTCCCAATGCTGCGAGGACTGGCACTCAGATGGGAATGGTATGAACGTGATAAAACTCTCCGTAACAACATCCATTGCAACTATTTTTGGTTTGGTAGTCCTCAGTCGAGTCCAGATCCCTGTCATTGATTCAGTAATAATAGGAATCAAATAGATAATCCCATTAATGTGGACGGCAGCCTGGGTATATCGCTTGATGGTGGAGGAGTCTATCTCCCTCCATGACTTATCCACTTCGACAGTTAAAACCCGCAGCCGATTCAACAACCGCCGGCCACCATAGTACACCTCTGAGTAGAAAACCTTGTACCGTTCCGAAACCGAGTCAAACCCCAAGACCGCACTCCTGGTCGGCCTACCATTGCTTGGCAGACGAATACACCGTCCGGTACTAAGGTCGAAGATGGCGTCGTCCCCCCACCCGTTGCTGAGCAGACACATCTTGCCATCCTCAGAAGATACTAAACCTTGTACATCCAAACGTTGGGCAGTGTCGGCTTGGAGTTTTCCATGACTTTCTTCACGGTAACTCACGGAGTATAAATTTAATGCGCGGGGAGTTTTGGATGGGAGAGAGACGAGGATTCTGAACGCGAAGCGTGGCTCCAGTATGAAGGAATAGAAGAATTTGGAGGTGCATCTGAATTGCACTGCGGATTTGGCAGGACCACTGGTGAGAATTTTGAGAAGAATCTCTCGTGGAAGAGAGGTTATGGAGGTAGAAGAAGAAGTTGAAGGGTTCATCTGTCTTTGAAGTTTGATCTTCTGCATATATTCAATCAAGAATGATGGTTTCAGCTTTTTATCAGGGAATAAAAGTAGCAGGTCCAAAAGGCTTCACCAACCGTTTCTGTTATTTCTGTTATTTTCTATTAGCTGCTGCTAGTATCTCAGCTCTGTGTATAGCTTCTGTATATAGCTTCTTTTGTCTTCTTTGTAAGAATGACTTTTTTCATCTCAATACAACACTTCTTCAGTTTCTCTTCCTCTAAACTTAGCTACGTGACATGGTATCAGAGCCACTAAGGGAAGCTCTCTGAAGTGAATTAACATGGCAGCCTGGCCTTCACTTGGTGCAAACACAACTCCGACGCCGGCAACGGGAAATCCGGCACCTGCAGCTCCTCCCACTCCGGCGACTGCTTCGATCTCCACAGAGGTAACATTCGATCCAGAATCTCCTTCGAATCCCTACTTCTTGCACCCTAATGAGAGCCCAGCTTTGCTGCTCGTCTCCACACCTCTGGATGGTTCAAATTACCATCCATGGGCTAGAGCCATCACAATGGCATTGTCCTGCAAGAATAAACTCAAATTTGTTGACGGATCTATCCTTAAACCGCCAAGGGATGATCAGAAATTTGAAGTCTGGGCACGCTGCAATGATATGGTAATGACCTGGATTGTCCGATCTCTCTCTCCCACAATTGGACGAAGTGTCCTGTGGATTGATACTGCGTATGGTATATGGGGAGATTTGAAGCGTAGGTTTAGTCAACAAGATCTGTTCAGGATCGCTGAGATCAAATGCGAAATATATCAGACCAAGCAGGGGGATAGCAATCTGAATGAGTATTTTACTCAACAGAAGTTGTTATGGGATGAGCTTCAAATACTTAGACCCACAATAAGCTGTGCTTGTGCCACGAAGTGTGATTGTGGCAAGAAGTTGGATGAGTTGAATGAACAAGCTGAGAAGGACAAATTGTCCATATTTCTCACTGGCCTTCATGATAGATACACTGGTGCAAGAAACCAGATTATGCTTATGAGACCTCTGCCGGATGTATGTGATGCCTATTCCATGATAGCTCAGCAAGAAAGACAGTTCCACATTGGAACTAATGGTTTCACTAGTCAATTACATCAGACTGGGGAGACTAGTGTTGTTGGGACTACACTAATGACTAGAACAGGAGGTGGATCTCAGCAAAATTTCAGAAGATTCCAAGGGGGAAATAAAAGGCCTGTATGTACTTTCTGTGGCTTTACTGGACATACTGAAGAAAAGTGTTACAAGAAACACGGGTACCCACCCGGCTGGAAACCAAAATCAAGAAATCAAGGTGTGGTGAATTATACTCAAGGACCATCGATCACTCAACAATCAAACTGTAATGAGGGCATATCATACACTCAAGATGACTTCAAGAGGTTTCTAGAATTTGTTCAGGGTCAAAAGGCATATGAAGACAAGGGATCTTTGAGTACACCACTTGAACAACCAACTCTTGGAGCACATGTTAATACCATATCTGCCAACCTCCTTCCTAGAGCTCAAACTAAAGGTATGGATCCCTCCTTTAGATCTGCAAATGCTAAAGAATGTTGTTGGATCCTGGATAGTGGGGCTACTCATCATGTAGTATGTTGCATAGACTTACTGACAGATAAGAAGAAAGTTCATAATATGCATATTAGTTTACCTAATGGCCAACAGGTTGCTATCACATGTGTGGCAGCTATACATCTGTCAAATGATTTTATTCTGCACAATGTTTTGTTTGTTCCTGGTTTTCAGTATAATTTGATATCTGTGGGGGCCCTCATTAAGAATTCAAACTGCACTATGAAACTACACACTGATCAGTGTATAATACAGGCTGCTACCCATGGGCAGATGATTAGAATGGTTGAACTCAAGGAAGGATTGTATCATTTGATTTTCCCTGTTAAAAACTCATCTGTAAATAGTGTGGTTACAATGATGAATAAATGTGCCCCGTGGCATGCTAGATTAGGACATGTTTCACATGCTAAACTTCAGTTGTTACATGATGTAGACTCAGCAATTCAAGTGAATAAAACTTTGATTTGTGATTGCTGCCACTTTGCCAAGCAAAAAAGGCTTCCTTTTCAGTCTAGTAGTTCTATTTCAGCTGCCTGTTTTGATCTTCTACATATGGACATTTGGGGTCCTTACAAAACTGCTACTCTACATGGACACCACTATTTCCTTACTATAGTGGATGATCATAGTAGGGCAGTATGGATACATCTAATGAGAAAAAAGTCTGAGGTCAGAGGTTTAATTATGGGGTTCTGCAAGATGGTCACAAATCAGTTTGGTGTTAATGTCAAGTGCATAAGAACAGATAATGGTTTGGAGTTTGGAATGTCTGACTTCTTTAACCAAGAGGGAATATCACACCAAACCTCTTGCACTTATACTCCTCAGCAGAATAGCAGAGTTGAGAGGAAGCATGGTCATCTTCTCTCCATAGCCAGGGCACTCAAAATTCAGGCACATCTACCAGAAGCCTTCTGGGGTGAATGTGTATTACATGCAGCATATATCATAAACAGTTTGCCTTCTGCTTCCATTGATCATCAAATACCATACCAGGTTCTGCTCAAAAAACTTCCTCAATACCAACATCTAAGGGTATTTGGATGCTTGGCTTTTGCTACCACAGTAGGTCCCAAGTCCAAATTTGATGCTAGGGCCAAGAAGTGCATATTTTTAGGATATGCCAATGGAGTTAAGGGTTACAAGTTATATGATTTACATTCAAAGGAGATTTTCCTGTCCAGAGATGTGATGTTTTATGAAGACACATTTCCCTTTCAGATTGCTGATGATCCCACAAAGAATTTCTCACAAATGATCCTTCCAGCTGACATCTCAGTAGATTATTCTGACAATGATGAACATGGCCAATCACATGAGCAACCACATGAACAAGAGTATAGTCCCACAGAAGATTCACAAGAGCACAGTTCTCCTTCTAACATTTCAGTGGAGCAGGTGCCTGATCAATCACATGAGTCCTTCTCTGAAGAATTCCAACAAAGTGATCCCTCTCCTGAACATCCTTCTATCCAACCTGTAACCAGAAGGTCCACCAGACAAAGATACACCCCAGCCTATTTGGAGGACTATGTGTGCCACAGCTCTACAATTAGGTCCTCACCTCATGATGTATCCAAGGTAGTGAATTATTCAAGGCTCTCACCATCCTTTCATTCTTTTATCATGAATGTTGCCTGTCATACTGAGCCAAAGAATTATAAGGAAGCAATGAAACATGCTTGCTGGAAAAGGGCTATGGAAGAAGAAATTACTGCTTTAAAAGCCAATAAGACTTGGGAGTTGGTGGACTTACCACAGTCTAAGAAGCCTATTGGTTGTAGATGGGTCTACAAAGTCAAACATAGAGTTGATGGTACCATTGAAAGATATAAAGCTAGATTAGTGGCCAAAGGATACACACAAACTCTTGGCATTGATTACTTGGATACCTTTAGTCCAGTGGCCAAGATGATCACAATAAGAACATTGTTGGCAGTTGCAGCTGCAAAAGAGTGGCATCTTCATCAATTGGATGTGAATAATGCTTTCCTCCATGGGGAATTGGAAGAAGAAGTCTATATGGAGATCCCACCTGGTTTTACAGAAGGCAGAAATGACAAGGTTTGCAAATTAATCAAGTCCTTATATGGCCTCAAGCAGGCAAGCAGGCAATGGAACACCAAATTGTGCACTGCTCTAGCTAATATGGGGTTCAAGCAGTCTGCCCCTGATAACTCTCTATTCACTAGAGGAAAAGACTCATCCTTTGTAGCACTTATGGTCTATGTGGATGACATAGTAGTGGCCAGTGCTGATCTGCATTTAATCCAACAAATCAAAACTCAGCTCAACAGATAGTTTCAGATTAAGGACTTGGGAACTTTGAAATATTTCCTAGGTCTGGAAGTGGCTAGACAAAGTAAAGGGATTGCAGTGTCCCAAAGAAAATATGCACTTGAATTATTAGATGAAGCAGGTTTCTTGGGGTCAAAGCCAGTTCACAGCCCTACAGTGCCCTCACACAAATTAAGCAAAGATGAAGGAGAACTCCTTACAAACAATACTCAATATAGAAGGCTTGTTGGAAAGCTTTTATATTTAACCATCATAAGGCCTGATATAAGCTTTGCTACACAGCAACTTTCTCAGTTTCTGGATAAACCAACAGACCTTCATTTGCAAGCAGCTCATAGAGTACTTAGGAACATTAAAACTGCACCAGGACTAGGCCTATTTTTCCCAGCTTCATCAGATTTGCGATTGAAGGCCTTTTCTGATTCAGACTGGGGTGCATGTGTGGATTCTAGGAGATCTGTAACTGGTTTTTGTGTGTTTCTTGGCCAAGTCTTGATATCCTGGAAGTCAAAGAAACAGGCCACAGTATCCAGATCTTCATCAGAAGCTGAGTACAGAGCTTTGGCAGCCACCACCTGTGAAATCCAGTGGCTTCTCTATCTCCTTGATGAATTTGGAATCGTTCATAACACACCAGCTGCTGTGTATTGTGACAGCAAATCCGCCATTGCTATCACTGAGAATCCAGTCTTCCATGAGAGGACTAAACACATTGAAATAGATTGTCACTTGGTTAGAGAGAAGCTACACAAAGGAACAATTAAGCTCTTCCATGTTGCATCTGAGAACCAACTGGCTGACATTCTTACTAAGACTCACTGTCCAGGTTCCTTTCATTCTTATGTATCCAAGCTTGGATTGTTTAGCTTGTACAATCTAGCTTGAGGGGGACTATCAGGGAATACAAGTAGCAGGTCCAAAAGGCTTCACCAACCGTTTCTGTTATTTCTGTTATTTTCTGTTAGCTGCTGCTAGTATCTCAGCTCTGTGTATAGCTTCTGTATATAGCTTCTTTTGTCTTCTTTGTAAGAATGACTTTTTTCATCTCAATACAACACTTCTTCAGTTTCTCTTCCTCTAAACTTAGCTACGTGACACTTTTTGGGTCGACGATTTTGATGTT